ATGCATTACTAGAAAAAAAAATGCAGTGCTTCATTTTGCAGTAAAGTTGAACTGTTTGGTTAAGATAATTTTGTTTGGATGTCTGTGAGAACAAGTGCATTGCATTGGAGAAAAGTGTCAAATCAGTTGAGAAAAACTGTAAAAGTCAATAAATCCTTGATTAATGTGAATATTTTAATTAAAAATGTGTCTCCACGTGGTATTCAATAAAATTATTGTGCATTTAATCTATTAAGTTGGACATGGTAAGATTAAACTTAACAATAAAGTATCACATTTCAGCTATCGTTTTGTTAGGGTGGTTACACAAAATGTTATTTTACCCTTGCTTCTATCTTCCTCAATCTTCCTGCTTTCTAACAGCTTCATGTGGCCGTAAACATTTAATTTTAACATGGCTTTAAGTTCTATGCATCATTAAAGTTTCACTTTCACCATTTCAACCTCTAACTCGCTTCCGGGTTTTTGCCTACAAATTGACGTCACAGTTCCACCACTGTATTCAGTTTGTGTGTGTGTGTGTGTGTGTGTGTTTAGAATTTTTTTTAATGGTACAAAGCTTGGTATAGATGTTGGCACTTGTGTGAATATGAACACACAAACAAACATGAACATGACTCAAAAAGGATAACTGGCCCTGCAAAATAGTTACACTTTTACTTTTTTTGTGCTCAAAAATTGCTTCATTAGAAACAAATTTCATTTAACCATCTTAATTTTGTTATTTTTGCAGTATCAACTTCAAATCTGGAACACAACTTTAGATTTATGGCTTTGATTTTTTTTTTTTTGAGAGTAAAACATGTTTTCATTTGTAAAGTATGTTTTTCATATAAAACTCGAAAATAATATTTTTGTGCGTTTCTCATATTGTTTTTAATTTCACTTATTGCAATTAAAGTAATATTTACCGCCACCTGAGGAGCACTAGCTGGGTTAAAGCTTGTTTGGTCTTGTTTAAAATTATTTTGTCATCTTTTTATTACTTTTATTTATTTATCTTTTCTTTCAAACAAGCCGTTATTCACTAAAAAAAATTTCCGCTCTGCCACAGATAGCCTATTGTATTGCTTGCTCTGCATCGAAATATAGTTCCTCAAATCAGAGTCACACTGAACGTCAATAACATCCAACATCACTGGTTTATAATACTGGCCAAACACAAAAGACGTGTGACGAAAACCACAAAGGTTTCCTAATGAATTTCTTTGATACAAATAGCATCTTCTTATTGGTCACATGTCCCTGATCGTATCTAACATGGTTTTGTAATTTCTATAAGAAATATAAGTAACTTTTCGGTCAACTGTAGTACACAAAATCACAGAATACCCCGCCAGGCACTCATATAGTTGTAAAAAAACTGCCTTTACATAGGAGATTTTTTTAACAACATAGTAGTAGATATATACTCCAGCCTTCATCTACACAGTTACACAGATTAATTACTCAATATTTCCTCAAATATTACATTTTTATAACATAATTTCCTGTGTGACAGGACTGACCGAGGCGTGACAGGACTGACTTTATGGATTTCGTTGATGCAGAAAAAGTTATGTTTTGTGTTCTTTATTTAAGTTTTGATAAGCATTCCTATTTTAAATTATTATTATAATTTTAATGTTAATGTAATATTAGACTATGGTAAAGTTCAGCCAAGGACATATAATAAGGGCCTAATTCATTAGAATATGACTGACAAATTAATAAACTAATTTCATTTTATTTCAATATAAAAACATATTTCATTTAACAATTTATTAAAATTCCATTTAACAATAACATGGCCAGATACAATAAAAATAAACAACTAGAATTGTACAATGGCACAAACACAGACAGGAGTGAAAACAAACTTGTAATGGTACTACTAATATGGTCAAATTAATTTAACAATAACAATTACCAACTTGAATGGCACAAACTCAGACAGGAGTGAAAACAATAACCCTGTGTTGTGCTACGCGTACACGGGTGTAATAAATATAAATATAACTTCCTAATATATAAAGTATATTTTACTATGATACTGCAAATGTATAGACATTTAACTGAATAGCACAAAGTAAAGTAACTGTGGTACCACATAATATTACGGCTCAGTAATAACAGGGCAATACAATGGTAATATCTGCATTATTACTTAGGAAATGACATGGTAATAATGGAAATTGCATGTAATTTCCTAGGTAATAATGTAGATATTAGCATGGTATCTGTATGAATTGGAATAATTACAGTCATCATTACTCAAAGCTTATATAGATGATGACAATTACATCGATATATGAAGAGTTAATTTGCAAAAACAAGTAACTCCGTTTTTTTAAATTTTCAAAAATCATGTTTTTTATTATGTAATCATGTTTTTATTGTGTTTTATTGTGTTAGTTAGCTGTAATTATTAGTTATTTTTTTACCTGATCAAAATAACCCAACTAAAGTTTGATTGAGATTAATTGGAATGCACAATGAAAAAACATGATTTCAGAGAATTGTTAAAAATGGAGTTATCTGTTTTTGCAAATAAACTCTTCATATGTATTGAATATAATATATAACATAATATATAATTAATATACAAAGTACAGTGCTACATAGGCCTAGGTAAACGAGGGATACAATTCAAAATATTTGTCGATGAGCATAAATAAGCTTCAGATTTACAGTGCAATGTCTATTTATTCAAATAATGTTTTGCTATGGCATGCGTTAAATACATATTATATGCAATAAAGGTAATAAAAAACAACAATGCCATTCATTTGTCAGGCCCTGTCGCACAGGGATGTGACAGCCTGACGGTCGGCCATTTTAAATTGCCATTACTCAGCCTGCTAGCATGCTAGCATAAAAACGGTTAACATGCAATCAAGGAATTTCAGTAACTTTTTTAGACATGTTTTGGATTTAAAAGATTTTCATTATTTTCTGGGATGTTTTACCGTGACAGGGCCTGACCCTTTAGCTCGTCCTCCTCAAACAAACATACAAAAACAAGCTTAAAATCATACAATTCAATGACAGAACTCACCATTGATCAGCGTCAGCTTCACCTCAGTCAAATGATGTCACTTCCTTCGAGTCATACCTTTAAAGGCGCATTACACACATTTTCTGTTGAGTTTTATGTAAACGTGACAGGACTGACCGAAAACATAGGGACAGTTGTAAAATAGTATGTATTTATAGAATGTATGTATAATTTAATGTTTTTAATCAGTTGATGTGAATGATAACAACTTAAACTTGTTATTGATGGAGTTTTTTTTTTCTAAATAACAGTTTTTAGCATAACAAAACTATGAAAGCTATAGGTCCAGTTTGGCTGGGGACAAGGACAAGAACAGGATTTGTAATTCTCAAAAGTGTTTTTAATCAATTAAAAAATATCTGAGAACCTAATGAATCACATATTCCTTTACAGAACAACTCACAGAAATCAACCATCAGTCAGTTTTAGACATTTTTTGGATGTAATACTTTTTATTCACTGTAACAAGTCAAGGACAGATAATGTACATTTCTGGTAGAATGTTCCATTTACAGTCATTGTGCGTACAAGAGCAGCAATCAAGTTCTGCGAAACGTCGTTTGTGTTCCACATTGGAACAACTTTGGGGTGATTCCTTCATAATTTGCTGTTGTAAAAACAGATCAGAATATAATTTAAACACATGAATCATACAATTCAATGACAGAACTCACCCTTGATCAGTGTCAGCTTCACCTCAGTCAAATTATGTCACTTCCTTTGAGTCATACCTTTAAAGGCGCATTACACACATTTTATGTTGAGTTTTATGTAAACGTGACAGGACTGACCGAAAACATGGGGACAGTTGTAAAATAGTATTTATTTGTAGAATTTATGTATAATTTCATGTTTTTAATCAGTTGATGTGAATGATAACAACTTAAACTTGTTATTGATGGAGTTTTTTTTTCTAAATAACAGTTTTTAGCATAACAAAACTATGAAAGCTGTAGGTCCAATTTGGCTGAGGACAAGGACAGGATTTGTAAATTTCAAGTGTTTTTAATAAATTAAAAAAATATCTGAGAACCTAATGAATGACGTATTCCTTTACAGAACAACTCACAGAAATCAACCATCAGTCAGTTTTAGACATTTTTTGGATGTAATACTTTTTATTCACTGTAACAAGTCAAGGACAGATAATGTACATTTCTGGTAGAATGTTCCATTTACAGTCATTGTGCGTACAAGAGCAGCAATCAAGTTCTGCGAAACGTCGTTTGTGTTCCACATTGGAACAACTTTGGGGTGATTCCTTCATAATTTGCTGTTGTAAAAACAGATCAGAATATAATTTAAACACATGGACAAAGTTCAAGCATTAGTTTAATTTGGCGTCAGTTGTTATAATGTGGGTGATGAAGAGGAAGTGTCTCGTGCTTCAGGGGATTTACATGCCATCTTTTAGACTAGACAAATAGAGCAGTGCTTCTCAATTCCAGTCCTCGCTAACCACCGCTCTGCAAATTTTGCTCATGTCTCTTATTTAACACACTTGATTCAGATCAAAAGCTCGTTAGAAGAGAGCTCCATGCATGAACTATGTTCCGATTGACAGAGTCATGGAATATCCCTTGAAGTTTACTTCACTTTGAAACATTCATTCACGGATTTGCGCTACGCCGCTGCATGCAGCATCTTAGCAAACTTACTAGAGAAGTGTTACATAATATACCTCTGTAAAAGAAAATACAATTCCACTTCACAGTGCACTTATGGTCGAATAGAACAAGAGATACATACACAATGTGCAGAGCGGGGGTGGGATTGTGTTAGTGTCGCGACTGATGTAGTTGCACTGGCCATCACATATTTATTTGCTTCCCTAGGAGTGTCTGTTCTAAACCACCAAAGCTTCATCTAATGCGCCTGTTCTTGTACTTTCCCCCGCTCGTGAAATGTCAGCTATCACAAGATATGCAATGAAAGGAAACACGTCACACTTCCCACTTTCTTCAAGCGAAGAGTTGTCGCATGACTCTGAAAGAGTCAGTTGGCTGTGTTTTTGGATAAGGAGTCCTACAATCAGGGGCGGTGTGAAGGAAGGTCAAGGGCTTCAAGGACCTCGTTGATTTACGCCGACAAGCCAACGAGCGATGAGTCTATGTGGAGTTGTGCTGCTGTGTATTGTGTGTATCCTTCAAGGTGAGTTTACCAAAATTCACTCTCATATCATGCAGAGTTGGTTGCGTTATTGTTACATAGTTTGATCCTGTGGAGGAGATTATTGGAGAATTTTTGAGAAGAAAAGAAAATGCCTGTCAGAGTGAGTGAGAAACAAAGAAAGTCAACCTAAATTCTGCTTCGTTGGAAACAAGGTGTTTCCCTTTTCTGCGAAACAACAAAACATTTCCTCTTACATGTTAGAGCGTTCACCGTATCTGTGTTTATTTTTGCAGTGAGCAGCAGTGAGGAACATATTATTGGTTACAGTGGCCAATCAGTCGTCCTGAAATCTGGAGCGGACAGTTCATGGAATCTCACCAGAGTTCAGTGGTCCATTTATAAGAACACCACATACATTGCGAGTCTAAAGGATGGCGAAGTGTTTATATACAAGTTCTGGCGACATCAGGGTCGACTTGACCTCAACAATGAAACGGGAGATTTAACAATCCGTAATGTGACAGTGGACGACAGCATGACATACAACGTGGCTTTGGTCACCTCAGATGGCACGCGGAAGCAAGATAAAGTTCATCTCACAGTTCGAGGTAAGCAGTTTTCGGTATAGTCAACAATCTACTTCTGCTTAATGACTGTCGGCCAGATTTAGTAACTGATATAACGTTCTGCAGAAAGTCTCAAGACACCAGACATCCAGAAGACGCTTCATTCCCGCAATGACAGCCGGTGCTACGTTGCCCTCGAGTGCATCGCATCTGGCCAAAATGTGAATTTGTCCTGGACGCCTGATGGCGAGTTCAACGGATCGTATATTTCAGGAATCCCAAACTCTGTTGACTCTTCGCTAGTTCTTTTCGCATCATTTAGTGGCAACAGACACGTGACGTTTACCTGCACTGCCTCCAGTGGTCAACAGACTGTGACCAGGCAAATGATAGTGGGATGTTCAGGTGAGTTTCGTCAACAGATGTTTGCTTCTTTAGGATGCTGTTCACTACGTATTAAGTATTAAAGAGTTAGTTCACCCAAAAATGAAAATTCTGTCATTAATTACTCACCTGCATGTCATTTCAAACCCGTAAGAACTTCGTTCATCTTCGGAACACAAATTAAGATATTTTTGATGGAATCTGAGAGCTGTCTAACCCTCCCATAGACAGCAACGCAACTGAAATGTTCCCAAGTCCAGAAACGTAGCAAGGAGATCGGTAAAATAATCCATGTGACATCAGGGGTTCATCTGCGATTATACGAAGCTACAAGAATACTTTTTGTGCACAAAAGAAAAAAAAATAACGTCTTTATTCAACAATTCGTCTCCTCCGCATCACCTTGGTGCCATTTTGGAGAATATCCGCTGGACGTAAACAGCGTATGCTGTTCTGTGTCAGCTGCGTCACACGGATACGCTGTTTCCGTTCAGATCAAATCACAACAACGTAGGAAACAGATCCGGCGTGACGCAGCTGACACAGAACAGCATACGCTGTTTACGTCCAGCGGATATTCTCCGATGTGGAGGAGACGAATTGTTGAATAAAGACGTTATTTTCCAATCCATAGAACGATGTTACCTCTCTACATTTTCTTCTTTTCCGATAATCCGTTTAGTTTGCTTACACTATGCTGATAACACACGAACATCTCGGAGACGTCTATTTGACGTCTACGTGTACAACTGCAAGATGTATTTTGTTGCTCATCTGTAATACGTCCCTAATAAGACGTCTTTCCTATAAGATATCAAATAGATGTTTAGAAAATGTCTTTAAGATGTTTATGATTTAGAATGTATGTAAAACTGACGTTTGTACACAGCAGATGCTTTCCAGACCAAGCGATCTTTAACAGACATCTTGCAGACGTACGTGTGTGGTAGGTTATGCAAACATTGTGCGTGAAGTAACTTTAATTATCAACGTCGCCAGATTTTCCGAACTGCTTGTACTGTTGGTGCATTTAAGTCCTCCTGAGAAGTTCGTATTTACGATTTGGGAAGTCGTAATTACCACATCAGGTGCATTGAAGTCACTTTGGTCCGAGCAAGATTGTAATGTACATAAAATTCGGCAAAATTTCTTTAACCCTACTTTTAAAACCTGATGAATACAAATGCGATTCGAGTGTGTTACTGCTTTGTTTTTATTCAATACATGAACATTCTTTAAATTGGATTGTTGTTATACATGTCCAATCGTAATTATACAATTTAATGGTATTTTGCACATGCTAATTAGTTTTATTGTAAATGAAGAAAAAATATCAAATTTAAATCCTTTTAACAAATTTACTTCAATACAGATGCTGCATAAATTGCACCCGACATGTTTTCTCACTGACAAAGAAAAAAATTAATTTGTTTTCCACTCGTAATTACGATTTTATAGTGGCATTCATGTGCGCTCAACTCATAAATACGATCTATCCAACATGACTTGAACCAAGTGTGCCACACACGTCCTGAAAAGTGAAGCCGAAACATTTCAATCTCTAGATTAAATGAGTACCAACACATCTATATCGGTCATAACTTCTGCAGTGAAATAGCGTGATCAGGAGTTAAACTCACTAGTGCGCTTGTGTCGAGGACCCATATTTGCGTGCTCCATCAAATTAAATGTACTTTGAACAGCTGAGTTCAGCCATACACATGCACTAATCGCGCCCATCAGAACGTGAATATACTTTGGCGTTGAGGTGTGAAAAGTAGACAGTGAAAAAATGAATGCAAAAAAAACTAAACAACTGGTGACATTTGAGCTTAAAACACATAAAACCTAGCGGCTGCTTTAACGAAAAAATGAATGCAAAAAAAACTAAACAACTGGTGACATTTGAGATTAAAACACATAAAACCTAGCGGCTGCTTTAACACAACTATTCAAACCTTAAGCTTTTTTATTTTATCATTATTATTTATTTGTTTGTTTGTTTTATTTTTTGGTAAAATTATTAAGTAACAGGGATTGTTGGAAGTTGTATTTTCAAACTTTGAAGTGTTGCCAATACCTTAAATTTGATTTACTTGATCTTAAAACTATTTTTAAATGTGACTTTATAAAACCTGCAGAAACCGTGATCATATAAAAAGGGCCTTTACTGACAGCAGAGTGAATAAAGAAACATTGTTTGTGACAGAAGCAGCCAGTAACTTCACCGCACTGGACACTTTAACAGGGCAAGGCCGTTGAAAAGTGACACATGCAAATATATGAAGTTTTTTTTATTTTATTTTTTTTCTAGAGGAGAAGCAGAAGTGTGAAGCCTGCACTGTTTGCAGTTCGTGCGCTTCCTCTGTGATATTGAGTATTCTGTTTACAGCTGCAGTTTTGGGCTTTGCATATGCATTTACAAGAAATAAAGGTAACAACATATCTTGTAATCAACTTTACAATGCATGAACTTTATGAGCTTTATGAACTGTAATTGATGTTTTCTAGAGAGCATTATAGCTGCTTGCCCTGAAGGTCCCCTACATTTCATCCAGAATATAAGGTAACATCACACCACAGACATCACAGATGTAATGAACTCAGTTTACCGCGGTACTTATCCTGGATATTTGTTTTTTTGAATCACCAGCAGTCCTGGCTCCTGTGGTGTTCAAGGGAAACAAGACGCGGCGTAAGAAGAAGAAAACTTATCTTGCATAAGGTTCAACTGAGCAATGATCAGCATGCGTGTTACTTTATGGAAGGGAACATCTAGCATTATGTTTGACCCTTTACTGACAGCAGAGTGAATAAAGAAACATTGTTTGTGACAGAAGCAGCCAGTAACTTCACCGCACTGGACACTTTAACAGGGCAAGGCCGTTGAAAAGTGACACATGCAAATATATGAAGAGTTTTTTTTATTTTATTTTTTTTCTAGAGGAGAAGCAGAAGTGTGAAGCCTGCACTGTTTGCAGTTCGTGCGCTTCCTCTGTGATATTGAGTATTCTGTTTACAGCTGCAGTTTTGGGCTTTGCATATGCATTTACAAGAAATAAAGGTAACAACATATCTTGTAATCAACTTTACAATGCATGAACTTTATGAGCTTTATGAACTGTAATTGATGTTTTCTAGAGAGCATTATAGCTGCTTGCCCTGAAGGTCCCCTACATTTCATCCAGAATATAAGGTAACATCACACCACAGACATCACAGATGTAATGAACTCAGTTTACCGCGGTACTTATCCTGGATATTTGTTTTTTTGAATCACCAGCAGTCCTGGCTCCTGTGGTGTTCAAGGGAAACAAGACGCGGCGTAAGAAGAAAACTTATCTTGCATAAGGTTCAACTGAGCAATGATCAGCATGCGTGTTACTTTATGGAAGGGAAAATCTAGCATTATGTTTGACAGTTTTTTAAAGAAGTTTCATTTTAAAGAAAACAATGTGCGGAGGTTGTGACTGTTGGTTTGACCTCATTGGATCCGGTCTGTGAAACGTGTCATGTGTCACCTGTGTCAACGATGATTTCAGGTACTTTACGCAACCTTTTCAGAGATACAAAAAATAGATGTTGTTTTCAAAATCCATTCGACTGAAAGATCTGAAGGATTGTGCTCCTCCAGTTTGAACGGTCATGATACTTCTGGTACTGATGGCCTTTAAATCTTGACTCAGCATGGCAGCTTTTTTTATTTAATAAATTGTCTAGCTTCTTTGTTCAAAAATGCATGTGAATCTAATTTTTCTATGTAATTTCTGGTTGTTATGATGAATTGTAGCAGTATGTGCTCAGTGTCACAGTATTCTAATGACACATTGTCATTGTGAGTGCTGTTTTTGTCTTGTCAATGGGAAGTGGTCAGCGTTACCTAGAAATGGACACATGAGCTCAGTTTCTGCATATCTGGATATGAGTAAATACTTAAGAAACGGGTTCCATTAAAAGGATATTCCACTGAATTTTAACACTTCTCCAAACTGCCTAGTGACTTTATTTCAGAATTATTTCAAAGTTGTATTTATATTGTGCTTTTCTTTGACTCATGGCCACTTTACAGAAAGAACATATGAAAGAAAAATCAGAGCACTACATTAAAACAAACAAAATACAAGGGAATATCAGAGTAAATTATTCTAACTGTAACTTTTATAACATGCTATTTCGGCCAAATGACAGAGGACAAAAAAAAACTGAGTGCCCACATAACTCCAATACACTTTATAAGCTGTAAGTTTATATATATTTTTTACAATGCATTTACTGTCTCAGATGTGACTGTTTTAAAGGGGTCATATGATGCGATTTCAGTTGTTCCTTTCTCTTTGAAGTGTTACAAGCTCTTGGTGCATAAAGAAGATCTGTAAAGTTGCAAAGACTAAAGTCTCAAATCCAAAGAGATATTCTTTATAAAAGTTAAGAGTCAGCCACGCCTACCTAAAACGGCTCGTTCTAACACGCCCCACATATCTACATCACTATGTGGGAAGATTTGCATAACGCCGCCCAAATGTTCACGCAAAGAAAGAAGACGTAACTTTTATTCTCGCTGTAGTATTGTTGTTGCTGCCGCCATGTCGTGAAGGCGCTGTGTGTTTCGTTGTGAAAGCGAAACTACTTTGTTTGGTCTTCCAAAAGAGGACACGACTAGAAATCAGTGGTTAAGTTGTATTTACAACACTGTTCCGGAACACTTCAACCCAAATATTCAGATGTGTGCAGCACATTTTATGGAGGACTGTTACCTGATCCTGGGAGAGTAGACTACAATGCCGGTGTCTGTTTCTATAAAGTGGGGCAGTTCCAAGGACAGACACCTTAAACCGCATAAACACATTTCATTACACCAAATACACAAAATAATGTTCTTTTTACCAACATCATGTGACCCCTTTAATGTTGGAAACACTGGTCAAAAACCTTTTAACTCCACTGCAGCTTGACTTTTGTAAAATGCTAATAATATAATGACACATGCAATAGTCTTATATAAAACCACAATATCAAATTTGACACCACAGAGTTTAATTATTAAAAAAAAATTAAAAATCCTGAAAACTATTGGCATCACCAGGTAAATTAATTTTGTCGTGAAGCCACTTGGAGCAGCACTCGCGACGGTTTTGTGTCTGATTCTCGAAGTATCAAGCCCATATATTCTCCTTGTGAATATCATCTATAACCACAGCGAAAATAAATATATAATCCAAACTGAATAAATATCACGTCCAAAACTGCATGTGTAACGACAGGTTCAACTGAGAGGTCAAATGAGGTCAAATATTCAAATGGAGTGTTCTGATGAAGGGGGTTAAAAACAGCATAGAAAAAAGCTTATTACTTCTAAATGATGTTTTTTGATGTAAAAATCGAGATAACGTTATAAGTGGACCTCAGAGAACAGTACAAAATAAAAAACAGAGACAGTTCATGACTCCTTTAAGTGTCGGTGATACCTTAAATTTACTTGGTCTTTAAAAAGTTTTAAATCTAACTACATAAAACTGCAGAAACCGTGATCATATGAAAATGGCCTTCACTGACAGCAGAGTGAACAAAGAGACATTGTTCGTGACAGAAGAGGCCTGTAACTTCACCGCACTGGACACTTTCACAGGGCAGAACCACTGAAATGTGACACATGCAAATACATGAAGCGTTGTTTGATTCTTTGTGTTTTTTTCTAGAGGGGGAGCTGAAGTGTGAAGTCTGCACCGTTTGCAGTTCGTGCAATTCGCTGCGGTCGTTTTGGTTTTAGCATATGCATTAACAAAAAATAAAGGCAACACACATTGCTTACACGTGTTGTGAGTTCTGAAAATGTATGGGTGTGATTCGGTTCGGTTTATTCGGTTGCTTGACCTTCATCCTTCCCTCGGGTCATTTTGACCCGGAATTTTTCTTACAGTTTTAAAAAAAATTGAGTGTTCATCTGAGTGGTACAAGACTTTGTGACTTTTGTTCCACTTGAATTTGGAACACACACAAAAAATTGAGTGGGAGACCATAGGAATGAATGGAATGTCGAAAAAACTGCGTTTTTTTTTTTAAAACGTTGTCACACTTGAACATGGATCACACACACACACACACAAATTGAGTGGGTTCAAGGACATTATGTGGGTGAAAAAACCCCCCAAACAATTCCTTCCCTTGCAGGTCAATTTGAGCCCCCATAGGAATGAATGAAATATCGAAAAAAACTTTATTTGATTTTTTTAAAATACAAAATCTGACACAATCCAGACAAAATTTATATCCAAACGAAGAGCTGAGACTATAGAATACCCCCCCCCACACACACACACACACATACATGGTACACGCACACACATAGAGACACATTATACATGCATGATTAAAAGGTAAACAAGGTAAATAAAAATTTAATTAAATAAAAATCACCAAAAAAATAATAGAAAAACCCTACCTAAATATAAAGAAAAAAAATGATAAAAATGGATCAATATAAGCTAAAAAAAAAAGTTTCCCAGCACTGCGAGGGAAAGATTTGTTACAAAACGTGAGGGAAGGGTGAAGGTTAAATAAAGGACTGACAGCTTTTTTGCTGTTGTGTGAATGTGAACTCTTAGTCAGGTTAGCGCCATATTTGACCTTGGAGCACAAAACTAGTCATAAGTAGCTCAGGTATATTTGAAGCAATAGCCAGCAAAATATTGTATGGGTCAAAATTATTGATTTTTCTTTCATGCCAAAAATCATTAGGACATTAAGTAAAGATCATGTCCTATGAAGATATTTTGTAAATTTCCTACCCTAAATACTGTATATCAAAACTTAATTTTTGATTAGTAATATGCATTGCTAAGAACTTAATTTGGACAACTTTAAAGATGATTTTCTCAGTATTTTGATTTTTTTGCACGCTCAGATTCCAGATTTTCAAATAGTTGTATCTCGACCAAATATTGTCTTATCCTAACAAACCATACATCAATGGAAAGCTCATTAGAATTTCGAAAAATTGACCCTTATGACTGGTTCTGTGGTCCAGGGTCACATATTTAATTTTAGACAGGAATGAAAACGAGGCTGTGATAGAAGCACAGTGCGTTCAATGGATTGCACCGTTGTTTGACAAGATACAGATTATTCAGCTCTTGAAAAGTCTTTCTGGGAAAAAAAGAATAACTTGAGTAACTTGAAAATAATGATCTGATCTAGGACCTTTATATAATGCGTCCCATAGTCTATCCCTCACATCCTGGCGCCTAACCGGACTAAAGTCTATAATGATTGTGAGACGACTTGAGTTTTGGAGTGACGGCTTCAGTCTTCTAGTGTTATGTGAAGACTGAAGTTTTAAGGACGTAGGTGGCGATGTCAGGCTGATGAGTTAGATGTATTAGTCATCTCAGATGGATGGATGGCTACGAGTTGTGAAAGAGAAATAATGGTGCTGATGGAAACTGATGGTATTATTTTAAGATATTAAGTGACCAGTCGGTAAATGCCTGATGGTGGTGAAATTATAAAGAAGAGAAGTGACTTTAATTCTCCATTGTATCAGCAATCTGAAATCTGAGAGCAGCTGACTGACAGCAAAGGCTGCATACTCCTACACAGACAGAATTACATGATATGAATCTCCCTCCCAAACTGAGGACACAAGCAATTACAATATTCCAGCTGTGAACATGCTAAACGTGTTTAAATACCTTAAAAAATGCAGAAACTATACATGTTTATTATCGTTACGTTACAGATTCACTAGATTTGTAGAACAGACAACTGTAGAGTGTGATGGAATGATGTATGATGTTATTAAGAAAAAAACAACTTAAAAAACTTCTTCACTTAAATACTTCAGTCATGTCAACGAGTCATTCACACAGACGTCTCGCGGTTAGATGATTTCAATCATCGCTAAACTGTTTTGGCGCTAAACTGTTTATGTGCAAAGCTGACCTCATACGTCATCCTCCCAGAACTGCTTCCGTTTACAACAGTGAGCACAAGCTAGATTAAAGTGATTATTACGTTTTGAATATGGATATTTTTCTTACAAAAACGCATCGATTCGCTACAGGAGGCCTTTGTTCACCCCCCGGAGCTGTGTGAGACACTTTTTTTATGGATGGGCGATTATTATTTAACTTCTTTTGGACTGATGCAATGCAACACCCGCTGAGTGGCAATAAACAGCTTGAAAGATTAAAGACAATTTTTAATATAACTCCGACTGGATTTGTCTGAAAGAAGAAAGTCACATACACCTAGGATGCCACTGGTGTGAGTAAAACGCAGCCTAATTTTCATTTTTGGGTGAACTAACCCTTTAATGCATATCAGTAAGCGAAACGAAGCAATTTTAAGTATTTGTCATATACAGAAAAGTGTGTAGAAAAATACATACATTACCATTCAAAAGTTTGGATTCAACAATGATTTTTAAAGAAACTGTAAGATACTTTTATTCAGCAAGGATGCATTAAATTGATCAAAAATGACAGTAAAGACATTTACAATGTTACAGAAGAGTTCTACTTCAAATAATTGCATTTCTGTTGAACATTCTGTTTATCAAATAATCATGAACAAATAAAATGTGTCAGTTTCCACGAACATATGAACTGTTTTCAAGAATAATCAGAAATGTTTCTTGAGCAGCAAATCAGAGTGATTTCTGAAGATCATGTGACACTGAAGACTGGAGTAATGATGCTGAAAACTCAGCTTTGATCACAGAAATAAATTACATTTGAACTTATATTCAAATCAGCTCTTTGAAATTGCAATAATATAAATGCAGCCTTGCTGAGCTTAAAATACCTCTTTCAAAAACTTTAGAGAATCTTACTGAGCCCAAACTTTTGAATGATAGTGTGCGTAATGTAATATTGTGTGCTGTGCACACACAAAAAATCTCCTTTATAAAAAAGTGTTTCAACATGACACATTTAATACACAGTGCATTTAATGCAAGAGTTCAAAGGTCCACCGATGCAGCCAATAATACATATGGGAGGCTGGTTAACCAGATCCAGAAATGAGAGGACAAAATGCTACATGAACCGTCTGTCTGTGTCTCACTCACAGGACTTCCTGGTAAGGGGAGGAAGTGCTGGCGCTGACCGCAGGGTGACGCTGATAGTTAATTTTGTCATACAGGGTTTGAGGCTGCAGGGGGAGTAAATGTGTGACGTTATAACAGATTCCAGAGAAACGCTTCGCAACAGAGACGTCAGCTTCTCCAAACATGCAACAAAGCTGTTCTTAGTCTCACTGATTTACTGTGTGTGTCTGCTCTATCTTAGCCTAATGTGGTATGCACAGTAATTATGATTTTGTTAGTAAATACATGCTATGAGCCTTATTTATAAGCAAAAAATAATGGAAGTATTCATTATGTATGCATGCAAGTACTCACCAAGTTTTGTGAGAGTTTTGTGCCGTCTACCGTTTCATAAATGGACATCCCGTTTACAACACTTTCAGAGCGTTTCTGTAATATAGATTCAATTCGGTTAGCTAGAACAAAATTAGGTTTGTATGCATCTAAAATAGAGTTCATACGCGTCTAGGAAGTAGAGACGTACAATTAAAAAAAATTTAAATAAAAAACAAAACTCTTATTTTATTTTTTTCCTTGTGAAAAAGAGATTATTGGAGCATGTTTACTACGTCAATATTTCTATTTGATTTAATTCCATTATTTATGAAATTTACTAGCACTTTCTGAGTGAAAACGTTCACTTTTTTGCTTTTGCTCAGAAATTGCTAGTACATTTCACAAATATTTACAAAGAAATGGCAAGCAACACATTGCATAAAACATGATTTTTTTTTTAAGTAGGAAGATTGAGATAGTATTTTCTTGTAAAACTTACTCAAAAAGTCTATATTTTAATTACAGCTTTGAAAAATTATTAGTCTTTTTTTGCAGAACCACATGAACCTTAAAAAGCAGATATATAGACAGAAATGAGCCGCTCACCTTTGCCGTGGCATCAGCGTTCACGTCTTCGTAGACTGTAATACCAGCCTCACTTTCTCCTTGTCCTGAAAGTGTGTGAAAACAGCTGTATAACTGTATAACTCCTGCACAGTTTGTGCTCATTCACACGCGTTCAACACACCTTTAATGTTCCTGCACCTGCAGCACACGGCGAGCGTTCCACTGAATATGACGACAACAATGATACCGACGCCTACCGCGATCAGCAAATACTTCTGAGGAAAACCTGCATCTTTGCACCAAGTTGCATAATTGTTAGTGCTCTTTATGGATTTCAGAGCAGGTTATAACATTTTTTTTTTAATCATTAGAGTATTTAAGAAGTTTAATTTATTGCAGAACCATACTTGATGAGATACTTGAATTGTCCGGTTTGTCTGTGCAGACTACAGTCTTAGTAGCGTACTTGACACTGAAGGTGTTGTTGGCTGTGCAGGTGAGTGTGGTGGTTTCTGCTGGACGGAGGCTGATATTCAGGTGAGATCCTTGAGTCTGGATCTGAAGACCGCTCCAGCTGTAGGAGGGATTCAGATCACCACCGGACGCCAGACACCGAAGATGAAACATGCAGATGTTTTCTGATTGCAGCCTGGAAACATTAATCTGTACATCTCTGATAAGATCTGTAAGAGAATAATATGCAACATTAATTATATTAGCATACTGATTCCCTCATTAAAGAAGTATTTAACTTCAGTTAAATGACTATAAGCATATTAAGTGTCACTTATTTAATGAGTTGTTTTAGAATTTGCTATTTACATTCTAACAGCATTGACAGGGAAAAATATCATGGAATTAAACTCACCATGAACATGCAGCACAATGAATGTTGTATTGTATTGTATAGATTTTCCTTCTGCAACAATTGAGAAGCTTCCAGAATCCTGGAGTTTAAGGTCTGCTACTGTTACACTAATATTGTGCTTATTCATCTTTAACCTTTCATAAAATAATTCAGATTTGACTTTTTGGAAATCATCTTTTCGATACTCAGCAAAAGTAGTATCATAATATTTCCACTGCACTTCAAGATCATCTTTTGGATAATCAGCAATTAATTCCAGTGAGTCTCCAACAGCTTTGTGCACAACCTCTGCATCTGGATCAACACACGACCCTGCAATACAGAACAGACAACAAAACATGGTTACATACTGTCACAAATGCATGCCATATTTTATACATTTAACATAAGACAACGTTTCCATTAAAACACTTCATTATATCAGTTTGACAACACCAACAAAACACATGAGAAAAAAAGGAACAGAAAGTCGACAAATAATAAATAAACCATCAAAAGAAGCTCCCAGAGTCTGCGTTTTAGAGTTTGCTATCAGCACAGTGCATCTCACACTTCTCACTATGTCTTCACACTCCTGTCTTAATGAGGACAGCTCCACAGCAGCATCAGCATGAAAAATAACACTATTCCCACCAGATCTGGATGCACATGGTCTTTGGTGTTTATAATCTATATTTGCAATGCACGATGACTCCTGATCTGTGTTTGTATTTGGTAACTTGTGCCCATTCATGCTCTGTAAGGAAGTGTTTCACAGCAGCACTTCCACCCATCGCACTGCGATTTTTGTTTCTGCATGTGTCTATTTTAATTTGAACATCTTAATGTTATTTTCTCATATCCGCTAATTTACTCTCCTTCAACAGTTGCATCTCTTTTTACAAGTATTACACGTTTTTGCCATTTTGGTGAAATAATACCAAATGACAAGTCAACATTAAACCATATGTTTTTTGATTATGGTGAATTCAGGTACATTGGGACACTTTTTGACTAGAAAAATGTCCCCCAATTAACCTGATTTCACACTGTACTGCTGGTTGCAACAGAAAAACACTCTATTACAACTAGCCACATTCTCTAAACGATAAGGCTTGAGGTTTCCTGAGTCGAACAGCCTTTTTTTCACAGATGAAACACTGATATTATATTATATTATTATAACACTGATACCTAAACATGCATGATCATTTACCTCTAAAAGTAGAGTCAAAATACAGCTATAAACATGCATTATATATAGTTTTGTATTTATTAAGCAAACATCGTTAATTTCATTTACTATGCCCTATGGAATCAAGAGCATTGTATATATTAGCATTACATATATGGAAGCAAGAGCAGTTTTCCAGATGCACATTCATTCCCCACATAAGTGTCCTGTCGGCTAAAACCCTCCTTAGTTCCATCCTAAACATTAACATATTTAATTCATTTGAAATATTCATATTCATTCCCTATACAGGAATAACTGCTGGATTTCTCGAGTCACTCACCTTGGAGAAGGAAAACCAGGAGAACTCCTAAGATGGAGCAGCGGGACGCTTGAAAGACGTTCATGTCCAGATGTTTAGACGACAGACTGAGGCATCCGAGACATCAGATACAGCGAAACAGAAGAGACAAAAACAGACTTCCTCACACCGACTGCTCTGCGTCTCAGTTTGTGCATATCTGCACAAATAACAACACACAAAAGAGCTTTGGTGACGAGACCTTTAAGAAGCGCTTTCTGAAAGTTGTGCTTGAGGTTTAGGGGCTTTCTGGTCTCTAAATTAGTTTGCACCTCCCACTAGGGTCAAGTGCAAGAGCGCAGGCGTTTCATCCACCAACACTGCAGTGTGCGGGAAGTGAAGGTTACGCATTTACATGCACAGTACTATAAATGCCCAAAAGTACTGGAAGCTCATCAGGGAGCGAAAGTGAAGTGAAATCCTAGAGGAACAAGAAAGTTTTAGAAAAGAGAGTCTCTTTGTTAAAGGTCCTGATGTGTCAGAGTTTAAACAGCAAGCTTCATTTGCTGATGGAGCTGTGAAAGTATAACATTAGTTTGCATATTGTGACCACAATGTAACCAGACTCATGTAACCACATGCTCACTGGGTGCCAGAGTAAAGCGACTTCCTTATCATCTCATCATCTCGCATCCAAACGAGAAGGCGTAAAAAAGTACATTTATTCAATTCGCATTTGCAAAGACACACCCTTTGTTGTTTCTACATCAGATCAGTTTTGTAGACTGTGCAGGACATTGCAATGCAACGACACCGAGTCCATCAGAGGAAGTGAAACTCACAGACAGGTTTTAGTTCTAATGGAAAGTATTAGTCAGGCGGTCAGCAGAAGAGTACGGCCCTGTCAGGACAACTAACTATATACACTAAGCAGTGCAAACAGGTTTATTCTAGTAACTGTCCAGCAGGCTTTTTTCATAAGTATTACATTTTATTAGTATTTAAAATGTAGGGTAAAAAAGTCACCTTTATTTATATAGTGCTTTTAACAATACAGATTGTGCCAAAGCAGCTTTACAGTATAAAATAGGAAAATAGTGTGTCAATAGTGTGACCGGTCATCCTCACACACAGAGACCACACGACCACTCGTTGATGAGGAATAAGAAAGAAACAGACTAATAGGCCTATTAGCGTAGATGCCATTCTTCTTACGATGTAACAAGTACATCGTGTGATATTGGAAGTGTTCCCAGTTCCGGTTGACCTAATTAATGCAGCCTAAAAATCCTTTAACATATTTGAATATTAGAAATGTGTTAGTGTGTTATGTGTATGCCAGGTTAAAGAGATGGGTCTTTAATCTAGATTTAAACTGACATATTCCAGAGTTTGGGCACTAAATAGGAAAAGGATTTGTTCCTCATGGGACCTATAGTGCACTATCTGATGCGATACTGTAGCTGACGGCTGCATGCTTACAATTTTATCTCTAATAGTATCGATCTTGTAATTACAGTTTTTCTGAATTGTTAAAACACTAAACCCCAATCTCTGAACCGAATTCTCACAAATTCATCCACTCACTGGATGAATTCTCACAAATTCTCACAAACTCTATTTGCAAATCTCATGCACTCTTTTTGCAAAACTCTAAACACATTCTCATTCACTTAAACACTTATCACACTGTGATGCATTTGTGTTACAAAATGCTAAACATAAGCGGCAAAAGTTAAGCACAACTAAAGCACAGTTGTCATTGTTTACACACAACGATTCAAAATTGTTCACACTTGTTTCTAATGATGTGATCAAACCAACTGTACAAAATATGAGTCAGTTCGGAGTGCACAAGTGGCACAGGTGACTGAATGATGACACGAACAATAGATCTGAGAAGGAGAGGAGGAAGAGTACATGTAAGAAGTGGAGGATGAGGAGGAAGAGGATGAGGAGAGAAAGAGTAAGGTTTAGAGAGTGTTATCAAGGCTGGATCTGTCACACCAGAGGGTTTTTTCTCTTTGTCTAGCAAAAAATACAAAATTACTTGTGATGTGGACAAAGTCCTCAGGCCCGACTCAAGCACAAAGACATGATGCTGAGACAGAATGAATCTCTCATTGACCCTGATTTTACAATTGCACAACTTAAAGTATCTGAGTGTACTGTAACATGCTATTCATTTAG